TGCGCAGCTTTCTGAGTGCCTTTTAAAAGGAGATAGAAAACTCCGCCATTTTGAACCCTTATTACGTGTTGCCTACATCTTGGCGCAATATTTTTAATGGGTGCGTTTTAATCGTCCGCTTCTGCTTCGGAATTGTCGGTTTTCTTGTTTTAATCTGACAGGTTAGAACGACTGAACCGACAATTCCGGAAGCAGAAGCGGATGATTAAAACGCACCTGATATTTTGCTTGCTGCTGTCAGTGTCAGTGAATATTATGTTTCACAGTTTATTGCTAAAGAATCAGTTAGCTCACTCGGACCAGTTGAATGTTCCAAAATAATATCCACTCCAGGGATACAAATTCAGGATACGCAGAAGACTGCTGTTTTATTATAGGCGGTTGTCATATATTGTATTATCTGAGTTGCGCAGTATATAAACTGGAACATTGAGATAAAAAGTGCCGACGCAGACTGAGCGATCTGATTCTTTAGCTATAAACTGTGTCATAGGGTTCAAAATGGCCGCGCCCTATGTTACACATACTTTGATTACTATACGGGGCAAGAGAGAGGTCCGACACGCCCAACATAGGGCGCGGCCATTTTGAACCCTATGACACAGTTTATAGCTAAAGAATCAGATCGCTCACTCTGCGTCGGCACTTTTTATCTCAATGTTCCAGTTTATACACTGCGCAACTCAGATAATACAATATATGACAACCGGCTATAATAAAACAGCGCAGTCTTCTGCGTATCCTGAATTTGTATCCCTGGAGTGGATGTTATTTTGGAACTTTCAACTGGTCCGAGTGAGCTAACTGATTCTTTAGCAATAAACTGTGAAACATAATATTCACTGACACTGACAGCAGCAAGCAAAATATCAGGTGCGTTTTAATCATCCGCTTCTGCTTCCGGAATTGTCGGTTCAGTCGTTCTAACCTGTCAGATTAAAACAAGAAAACCGACAATTTCGAAGCAGAAGCGGACGATTAAAACGCACCCATTAAAAATATTGCGCCAAGATGTAGGCAACACGTAATAAGGGTTCAAAATGGCGGAGTTTTCTATCTCCTTTTAAAAGGCACTCAGAAAGCTGCGCAGTGCGACCATTCTCCGTATAGTAAAAGAAAATCAAAGTATGTGGTTTATAACAGAGACAACAGAGACGTGTAACTTAATAGGAAAATATGTTCGGTGGTCCATTTAAATTACATATATGACCCTCTTTTTCTTTTACATTGATCTTTACATATGTCTATCTCTCTCCAATAAAACTAACACCATTTTCAGAGGGCGCTGGTGTTGCTGGTTTTTTGACGTAGAAATATCGATTAAAAGTATTAAAACTGACAACTGACAATGTTATGAATGTTGTTATGAACATGTGCATTTTATTAAAATTAATTTAATTTGGGCCCCGTATATTTCTTTTAGTCTGATTTTGTTGTTTAATTAATTTTCTTTGGGGGGGACTGTTTATTTGTGCATATTATTTTTTGCATGAAGCAATTTCTGGAACCAAACTCGCGTTTTTGTACACATTTCTTTCTAGAGTAAGTAATTTCCAATTTATTAAAAAAACCACTGTATAATGTGTGTGTTTAATAATATATTACACAATGACTATAATTATTTTAGGTGAATTGGAACAGAGATCCATTGTTACAGCTACTTGTGTTCATTAAGTAGGTAGATGAATGTCTGGACAGCTTTAATGGCAACACAAAGTTCCTATCTACTAGAAAAGTAAAATGTATGCTGAGTAAAAAATCTGCACATGTAGTATTGGCAAAGGACTTTTGAAATGATTAGAGATTAGCTATTTCTTACATACACCTACCTCTAACAGCCACTCTAAAGGAAGAAAAAAAAAATTGAATCACAAAAGGGCAGAATTTTAAATCAGGATGCATTGGAAAATAAATTTGGTGACATCAGGTCGGTTTTGGATTTTATAGAGAGATCAATCTCAAGAAAAGTTAATTTATCCTGCAGAACAACCAGTAGTTTAAGTAGGATTTGCTATAACTTTATTAGAAATTTTCTTTGATAATAAATTGTAATATAGGTACCAATTATTGTTTCAAATGAAATTGAAAATGAGTTAAATATGAAATTAGCTTTCTCATGAGTAAAATGTTATATTCATTCGAACATTGTAAGGTAATCTATAATTAAGGGAATATGGAAAATAGGTATACCCTAGTGGTGTAAGAGAAAGGTAAGGGGCAATGACAAAAAAATTACAAAAATGTATTTATCTTTAAATAGTGTATTATTAATAATATTATTTGCTATGTTTGAAAAGTACCTCCTGCTTCCGAACAGATCGAATAGATTAGACTACTAGTTGGAGAAGGTCCACCTAGTAACCAAATTAGGAGACTAGGAAAACTTTTACATGACTGGGGACACAACAGGAATGCACACACACAAGATACACAAACAAACGAAATAACAGGGGTAAGCCTTCAGCAACGTCCTGTTTAAATGATGATAGTATGTCATCCTTCATTCCCTTTTAGAAGGCATGGCATATAAATCTATTGATCTTGATTACTATAAGAGGAGTTAGCAGGTTTTCGATCCAGTTTACAGGATGGGAACTCGACTCAGGCCTTATACATTTGTGTTGAGTGTATCTGTGTTTGTTTCATTTCCATGGTTTCTATTAAAATAAACAGTCATAACATATGGATACCTTTTTGCCAGACTAACATAAGCGACATTTGTTCAAATGGCACTTATGATAGTCTGGCAAAAAGGTATCGATATACTCTATACTTTATAAAATATTTGTTACATTAGTTTTTAAATATATTATGAATATATAACAATTGTTACTTTCTTTGTAATTTGTCACAAAATGATAGGAGGTACTTTCTAAACATAGCAATTGTAGTTTGTTTTTCTGTACCTTAAAAAAATATAATTTATAGAAAAAGAGTTTGGTGTATTATTTTTCCAAGTTTAAATATTTAATAATTAATAGAATTTTCAAGTTTTTTTAGCGAAATTTACAAGAGTAATAAAAACTATGTTCACTGCTTATATTAAACTGATTAAAACTTCCTTTATTAAAATGATTATTTATATGATAAAAAATTTGATGTTATTGGAAGCTTTTATATTTTTTAATAAACAGTGAAACAATAGTTTTTGTTTCTCTTGTAAATTTGTTGTATACAAAAACGATTTCTGAATCCATGTTTGAATTTCCCGCCCTAAAGCATTTTTAATTTTCCCGCTATTTACTAGTGGCGCCATCATAGACTGGTTGTGGTTACAATCGCCCAAATAAGTTTTACCGAACAAAAAAAATACATTGAGTTACACGTCTCGCTGGATTGTCTCTGTTTATAATCATTAGACAGCTGCATATTCACGTCCAGAGGACGTCTTTTTTTGGACCTAATTTTAAGTTTAGTATTATTTTGACGTTCAGTGGACGTCCACCTTAGGTCATTATTTAGCCTACCAGATAATGCCCATACACTTATCCATACACTTTTTTTAATAGAATTGGTCATTAAAAATTGACAAATTAAATCTATTACATTTCATTCTATCAGCGGAAGTTTGAAATCTTATTCTATTATAACCGTATCTAGTAAGACTTTTTCAAGTGGCTCCTTATTGGTCGAGGTCGCCTAACGCTTGAATGCCTAAAACGACAATGGACGTGTCGTGATGAGTTCGATCTCTGCTCAGGTCAAGTGATTTTTAATAAAAAAATAATAATAAATGGTGTATAGCGGGTTGCGAAAATTATAAATAAATTATTAATTATATAAAATAGTGTGTGGTGAATTGCGGTTGTGTAAAAAAAAGTGGGGATGTGGTCTCAATGGAATACAATCCAGGAATGGATGTTTTTTTGAATGTCCAGTATTCAACGTCCAAATATAATTCAGAATTGGACGCACTATTAATGGTCAAAAGTGTGCCATTTGTATACTTCACTGGACGTCCATTGCACGTCAGAAGTCCAGAAAAAACTTATTTTTGGACGTCCAGACATCCAAAATTGTATATCGAATGGACGTCCAATGGGCCTATTTGTGCCGTCTGGGTAGGGCCTGTTTTTTAGTACAGGCAGAAAGTTTCCTGATATCTTTTCCAGAATGTCTTTAGAGTTAGATAACCCTTTACAACCGAATTTAGAAAATTTTTATTTGTTCCCATTTAAATAAAAAAATCCGTTAAAAAACAATTTGAAAAATATGAAAATTTAAAGGGAAAACTAAATAATAGACTTATCATCGATATGAATAAATCAACGTACCTACATTATTCCAATTTATATGATCCACAATACGAAGACGTGTATTGTGAATTGCATTTAAAAAATATTTCAAATGAATAAATATAGTTGCTTTCTTATAATTTACATTATCAAATTGGTAATTCATTACTAAAATTAATGTTTTTATTGTCTTAAATTTATTTTAGACTACTACATGGAGGAAGGACTACTATTTATAGTTATTATATGTAGTAAATTAGCTACATATTCCATAAGATAAAGGCAACGGTACGTCAAACTAGAAGTAGAGCATGAAGTAGAGAAATTGAAACGTCAATCATATGTCATGTTAATGTCAAATTAAAATATTCCTAAGCCACATTGCCAAACATATTGTAATTACTGATATTTAAAGACTTTCTTCTTATTTTCTCTTTTTTTTATTTATTCAAATCCAAAATTTGCATTACAATCCTGCTCTTTCCCGCTACAAAATAAAAGGAACTTTATTTGTAATATTTTATGATCCAAAAGATAATTAATCAAGGATATTTCTTTGCCATGAAAAAAGTTTGATTCTTTTTTAGATTGTAGGTACATTTTAGGGTTTAGGGTACTATCAAAATCACAGAATAAAAAATGTGAAATATGTTTTATTTATAACAAAATTTAGCATTGGCCAAATTTGTTTTTACCCCATTCTTGTAATCTTCTCTAACCTTCTATTCTTTTAGAATAATGTTTTATTGTTTATTGGGAGTACGTATATGGCAACACTGCGAAATGTACAAAATAGATACGAGTTGATGGAACTTTTAAAGTTTGGTGTCTGTGTTTCCCACAATTAATTTATTTTTTAGTTTAATTACGTTTTGTTTTTCTTGTAAGTATGTTTTCAGTATAACTATGAACCATTTTGAAATAAATTATTGTATGTAAAAGTTTAAACCGGTATAATATGAAAATGTCCTTCATTATTTTGTATGCTAACCTAGGTTAAAAGTATGTGTTATCATTTTTTACTTCCTAAGCATATTATTGTCAATCCGATAAATAAACATATAATAATAAGATCCGACAAAATTCATTTTTAAAAACTGAACTTAACCTCTAAAAAATACATAAAATAAAATGATATTACATTTATATATGTTTACCTGTCTTAAGTCTATCTAGTATCTAGGTTTTTCACAATAAAGAGAAGTGAATCATATCTGTTGTCATATTCCTTGAATTAACAACAGCTGCTTACTGATAATATTTATGATAAGGTCTTCCGACCTTTATTTTTATATTTTTGAATGTATATGTTTTCTATCAACATCAACCCTAGAATATTGGACTGTGTTAAATAAACGTTAATACTGGACTATTGTATTTTTTACAAAGAACAACACATTTTGGAAATAGCAATTATTTAAATAAAGTGCAAAGGTAACACTAAGGATCCTGCAATATTAGACACAAAACAACAGGCTTTAGGTAGAATTCTTTTAATCACAGACATGTCATACATCACCTCGGTGTTCTTCACATATTGTTTGCTTACACTGGTTACAATATATTTTTGCATTTTTGCAGACCATTTATAGCCATTCTTTTCTTTCAAAGAAGTTCTCATAGGCTTTAATATGTATTGAGATGAAGAGGCATCACTTATTGCTGATGCGATTGGAATTTCTTCATTTATTCCATCTATGGCACTTTCATCGTCATTTGAAGAATTTTTTAATTCATACTCTACATTTTCCCCCTCCGCAATAACACTTTTGTCACCTTAAGACTTCAATTTCATATTCTACATTGTCCTCTCAATAATTGCTACCACTATCTTCAAAAAGATCCGACTCACTGTCCTCTCCAAGCATACACTCCACTTCAGCCTGTATATCTTTGTCAGTTAATTTTTATCTAGACATTTTCTGAAAAAAGTGACTACAGCTATAAAAATGTTCAAAATAATAAAAAAATTATCAGGTGAAAACTGTACTTGGCTACTGGACTTTCATAAAATTTACGATGCCTTGGCAAACTACCACATTTAGGGATAAGACATCAACTATCTGCACACACCACCTGCTAGACAATGACGAAACAGGAAGGTACTGATAGGCACAGGGCGATGCATGAACCAGAAGTAAAAAAAAATGACAAAAAAAGAGACTTGCAGTAAAATTTATGAATGTCCTGTATTCTAGGGTTAACCATAGATAAAGTATATTAACAGATTATCTCTTTAATCACCTTATGGAAGTGGAAGATCAGTAAATGACCAGTCAGAGTCGATGTCAGTAATAAATCTAAAAAGTAAAGAGAAACCTAATAGAATAGTACCTATAAGTAAACAATTTGGAAAATTTTTGGTTATATAGGCAGGTAACTACTTATATAAAAACCAAATATTTTAATATTAGGTACCTATGCAATAATATGGAAATCAGTATGTCATTGAACTATTATTTCTGCAATAATATCAATTTTACAATAATTGCTTATAAGCAGAAAGTATATTTAGCAACCTATATGGAAATTAGAGAGGATACCTAGTAATATTAAAAGTATATTCATTTCTAATAAAAATGAATTCCTCAATACAATTGGGAAATATTTTGTAAGAGGACTAACATAGTTTTTGCCAGTGAATCAATTAACGACCCAGGTTTAATTAAACCAAAACGTTCAGTCTAATGTATGCAATATGCCTAGTTAAAATTTGTTGATACATTACAAATACATTAAATATAATAGTATTTAAATAACACATTAGATAAATAATCATGATTGTGCATTGTTTTATACAATGTGATAATTTATTTTATCTGTCTGACAGATAAAAACTAATTATTGCAAGTTAAAATTAGTCAAACAGTTTATAAATACATGTAATTAAAACAAGTACTTAGGTAGGTATTATAAACTGTTTTAAAAAAGTAGGATTCCTATATAAAACTTTTTCAATAGTGTAATGTATTGTTTGAAGCATTTTTAATAATCCACCTTTTTTTTGTTATGATATTTCATGACTGGTGAAAAACTGCCTAAAAGACATGACAAAGTTTAGAAGTCAAAATAAACTGTTATTAGTATGGGTACCTGGCAGCTAAGGATATACATCACAACAATAAAGAGGTTGATTACCTAATTAGCCTGAGAAGGCTTGAATAAAGTTCAGTACCTTTCTGTGGGTTACTAGGGCACTGTGCAAGACAGTGTATTATTATTTTTTAAAAAGTGTGTCGAGACAGGACAAAGAACCATTTACCAAATTCACAAAAGATTTGTTGGGCCAAAAACTAGAATCCATTAGGATAAAAATATAATTCTGAACACTGAGTTTTTTTAGGCTCGCTTCCATCATTCCGTTGGCATTTTATAGATAAAATTATGTCAAATAAGGAAGCAGAGCACCTAGGCAATTTTGAGATGCCATATTTTTAGGCTATTTTAAAGCTGTTTTTATACCGTATTCAAAAATTTTATGCTGTATTCAAAAATTTTATGCTCCTCTTTTTTGCAAAAATCAAGATGCTTTGAACGAAGTCAGCAGAGCACCTCAGTTATTTTAAGTTTTTTCCAAAAACAACGATACCATATTTTTAGGCTCTTAAAATATAAAACTGTTTGAAAAAAATTGTTATTTTTACAAAAGCTAGTAGAGCACCTTAGTTTGTTATAGCTTTTTTCTAATAACAACGACATCACATTTTTAGGCTATTTTTAGGCTCTGGAAATATTATAAAACTAAAAAAATTGCTATTTATAAAAAATACAAGACGACTTGTTGGAACAAAGTCAGCAGAGCACCTCGATTTTTAAAACTTTTTTTCTAAAAACAACCGCACCAAATTTTTATGCTTTTTTAGGCTCTTGAAATATTATAAAACTTTTCAAAAAAAATGCAATTTTTAAATAATACAGGGTAATTTGTCGGAACAAAGTCAGCAGAGCTCATTGCTTTAATTTTTTTTTTCTGAAAACAACTGTAGGCTTAAATTAAATAATGTGCTAAGTGCCAAAAAATCTATTTTTAATTTTATACTTATAAAATGATCTAGGTGCCATAAGCAACAACATATATAAAGCGCTAAGTGCCACAAGGCTATTAAACATTTTACAAGTATAAAATGAAAAACCGATTTTTTGGCATTTCGCACATTATTTAATTGAAGCCTTCAACTACTTATGTCACATTGTTAAGCACTTGAAATACTATAAAATTTTCGAAAAAAAAATTTGTATTTTTTTAAAAAAATACAGGGTGCTTTGCTAACTTCAAACGAATCCAGTGGAGCACCTCAGTTTTTTAAAGCTTTTTTCTAAAAACAACACCAGCACATTTTTACCCTATTTTTAAGGCTTTACTAAAAATGCTATTTTTAAATCAGACAGTCTTTTGTTGGAGCAAAGTTAGCAGAGCACCTCGGTTTAACTTATTTTTTTTTTCTGAAAATTATATATAAAAACGTGAAGTAGTTGTTTAAAAACAAAAACTTTAAAATGCTGATGTGCTGTGCTGAGCGAAAAATTGTGTAGTTCAAGAGGCTAAAAATAGAATAAAAATTAATATGGTGTAGTTTGTTTAAAAAAAACAAAAACTTAAAAATCGAGTTTCCCTGTTAGCTTCGTTCAACAGTTAGCAAAGCAAATTTTTTGGAATGTTTTATAATATTTTAAGAGCATAAAAATAACCTTAAGTGAGGCGTAGTTCTTTTTAGGAAAAACCTTTAAAAAAACGGAGATGCTCTGTTGGCTTCGTTTGAACAAAGCACCCTGTATTATTAAAAAGTAGCATTTTTTAAAGAAAAGTTTTATATTTCAAGAGCCTGAAAATAGCCTAAAAATGTAGTGTAGAAAAAAAGGCTCTGTTGGATTCGTTCGAACTTGCAAAGCACCCTGTATTTTTTTACAAAATACTATTTTTTTTCAATTTTATAATATTTCAAGAGCCTAAAAATGTGGTGTGGGTGTTTTTAGAACAAAAGCTTTACAAAACAGAGGTGCTGTGCTGCACTCGTTTGAAGCTAGCAAAGCACCCTTTATTTTTTAAAATATACTATTTTTTTTTTTTTTTTTTTTTTTTTTTCAAAATGTTTTATAATATTTTAAGAGCCTAAAAATGTGGTGTTGTTGTTTTTAGAAAAAAAGCTTTAAAAAACCGAGGTGCTCTGCTGGATTCGTTCGAAGCTAGCAATGCACCCTATATTTTTTAAAAAATTCTAATTTTTTGCCAAAAGTTTTATAATACTTTAACAGCCTAAAAATGTGGTGTGATGTGGTTTTTAGAAAAATTGCTTTAAAAACCGAGGTGCTTTGCTGGATTTGTTTGAATCTAGCAAAACACCTTGTTATGCAAAAAAACGTGGAGCATAAAATTTTTGAATAGGGTATAAAAATAGACCAAAAAATATGGCATAGGATTTAACTCAAAATTGCCTAGGTACTCCGCTGCCTTCTTTGACATAATTTTATCTATAAAATAACAACGAAATGATGGAAGCGAGCCTAAAAAAACTAGTAGAAATAATAAACAATAATTTTTCTTTTTATTAGGAGTTAGGATGGATCTCCCCAACTTTTTACTCCTTCTAAGGGAAATATTTCCTAGAACCAATGAGCAAGTCATTAGCAATGTCATCCAGATGGTAGAAGAAAGTAGCCCTCTTGATAGCGTTGAGCAAAAATTTGAAAATATGATAAATTTACTATCTGGCGACGGAGCACAAGGTCCAATACCTAATGTGGAGTTACAGCACAATGATGAGTTGTTTAGAGACCTAACGTCTATTTATACAAATGTAGATGAAGAATATTTACGTGATTATGTGAACTCGAAACCCATCAATTATGATATTGAAGATGCAATTGAAGAATTACAATCACGTAAGTAATAAAATAATGTAATTTTAGTTTCGAACTTAAAAAAATACTCATATTAGCCTATGCACAGACTACAAAACGTGTTTAACTGGAAGAATATTATTTATATCCGTCTTCCTAGTAAGAACATTGCACAAATATGAAATCCCCCTATCACAGTTCATATTTTGGTTACCTGGTTACTATTTTTTTTTTTTTTTTTTTTTATTTTAAATAAGTGACAATTCTGTCAAACTAATTGTCAGTATATTTTTTAGTTATTGAGAGTAATTAATATACTTTAAAATGAGCTATTCTTGTAAAAAATCGATAAATAATAGCTTTTCTCTTTTTAATTCGTCTATATTTACAAATAAATCATTATTTTTAATAAAACTATATAAAATCAATTTGATTATGAGCATTAAAACTAAAACTTTAGTTGTGTCGATGGAGCTGAAGGCAGCATATTTACCTGTCATGCGAGAGGTCCCAGGTTAATGTCTAGGATTGGAGAATTGGAGACTAATATAAATCTTCTCTTTTTTTTTTTTTTCAAATTTATTTTGTTCTACAATTTAGTAAAAGTCATAAATTATTTTTAAATTAGTTATTTTATCTTCTTATAGGAACTTGAAAATCGGAATTGTAGCTACAAATCATAAATAAATAATGACGTATTCCAGGGTTTTTGGATTTTCACATTTTAAGGGGGGAAAACGGTGATGAAATAAAAATAAATTAAAATAAATAAATTATGGGGCAACATTTAATAATAATACTCTCCCTAATTCACCCCCTTACGAGTGAATTTCAACCCCTGAACCGACTGAACGACTTGTGTAGGGGAAGGGACGGCTATTATTATTATTATTTGCCGTGCCGCTCCGGGGCGACTTAAAGATGATTGATGGTGCCATTTGACTTACAGGTGAGGAAAACCTCACCCACCATCATCGAGACGGTATTGTATGGCGAATTTTTTTAATCTGCATGTCATATCAACAGAAATTGAATTTCTATTAATACGCTACACATCAAATCCTAAACCGAACCATGCAATTTAATTAAAAATCCTCATGGTCTGGTCTGGGATTCGAAACCCAGCAGTCTCAGACTCATAAACTTGCCTATAAATGAATATAAGCGCGATAGACCGCTACACCACCGTCCCGATAAATTTAAATGAATTTATAATCTATCTATTATTTGGATTATCTGAGTATAATTTATTATCTGAAAAATTGTTTACATGCTTATATAAATAGAGATAAAGACAAAGCGTTCTAGGGGAAATAAATAAGGATTTAAATAAAAAACTCTTATATAAAAACAATTTTTATTTATTAAATATTAATTTTTTTACTAAAATAGATAGTTTTCTGTTTTTTTTTTACTGTTATTGAATGGTTTGGATTGGTATTTTATTTTCTTATTAGTATTTTTTTGATTGATTACAATATAGACTTAAGATATAGAAGAATATGCAAGAAATGTTCAAATTTAAAAAATTTAAGTTTTTAACTTAAATAAAAACACTTAATACTGCAAAAATGTCGTTGACTTTAAACGAAGCTTTCGGGAAAATATACTTCCTGGCATTAATTTTAATACTGAAAACCGTCTATGAAGTGTGCCTAGGGAAAGATTTCTTAAGAAACGGATTTGTTTTAAAGTACTCGAGAAATTACTTTGACTTTTAGTATCTGAACCACATATAATCGCATTGACTTACCTATGAATTTTCTTTAAAACTAAACATGTTGTCTTGCCGTTACAACCCGTACAACAACACAGAAAAATAATGAATCACATCACACTTCAAAATATTGTTTAGTTTTTTTTAAAACTTGGTTTAAAGTTATATAGACTTTTTATGAAAACAATTATATTTTGTATGTGATATATCACGTGACATAGCGGAAAGCTACAAAGTTAAAAACATTTTTAAGTATTTTCTTTTGATGATTTTGTAAAAAAAAAATTGCGAAATTGTCCAGATAAACAATTTTTGAGATATGGCCAGAATATTGAAAGAAAAAGTGTCTAGCAAAATCCTTTCTCATTAACCCCTTAATTTATTTATATTGCGTTGCTGAAAGTATTGTATGTTGATTTTACATTTCATACCTTGTCTATGCCAGACCCATCAACTACTATGATCATTAGGCTTTTATATTTTATAAATGATGACAGTGACTCTCTCTCTCTCTATCAGAATAATACGGATAACTATAATACCAATCATTTAATAGGTAATTTACCAGAGACACAAACAGATCCTGAAGTTCTCAACGAACGCTTGCAAGCTGCTTTACCGAACGCAGACCCAAGTTACTTGCAGAAAGAAGCTCGTCGATTAGCCCGCCTTCCTTCTGAGGACGTAGATACTTTTGTTCAAAACGCTATTGAGAAAGGTGATTATCCTACAATGCAGGATTATCTTAAGTGAGTATTTAAAAAATTAAGAATTTAGTTTATCGTAGGTTGCAAATTGAAATCCGAATAGTCAGAAATATCTGAAAATAAGTTGTAGACTAATTTAAAAATTCGAATTATTAAGACCATCCCCGAACCCCAAAGGTGAAAACAAATGCTTGGAAATTTGAAAAAAAAGTCTGTCGAAGACAGGAATCGAACCCTGACATCCTTGTATGTTAGACAAGTCCCACTTCCATTAGACCATCCACGTCAGTGACTGTCGAGATTCCTAGACAGAAGTTTGATGTGCTAGTTCGGGTCAGAGTATTTAAAGATTGTTTTTTTTTTGCAATTTACATTTTTTTTTAAATTTGTGTAAGAATACAATAATAAAAGATTGCTGCACACTTAACAACCAGAACTGGCAAGATAAATGTAGGGCCGAAAGGTGAAGACATCACGAACGGTCGTATAGGAAATTTAAGATGGCTATAAAACTGAGGTGGAAGCTGTAGGAGCAAGAAGATGCTGTACAATATACTAAATATAGACATGTACATATTTTAACTAAATAAATATTTGACTTGAATTTGAAATCTCAAAATAACCGTATAATAGATAGGAAAGCATATAAAACAATACTTTTACCACAAATTGCCAAAGTTATATCGCATTTAAAAATAAAAAGGGGTCCTAGGATGACAGAAGTCTGAGGTACACGCCAATTAACAACTGCTATCTGAGTCGGATCAGAAAAGAAATAATTCACCCCAACGCTTGCTCTCAGTACTTATGTTGTATAGATGTTTTATTAATTTTGTTATTTTTATTTTTTCACAGTCTGCTAAAAGATGGAATTATTTTTCAGGAATAAAAAACATACTACTGAAATAGCTTTGTACACAGAAGGCTTCGACGTAAAGAGATTTTTAGAAATCATACCTGATCCAGATGAAAAATTTACAAATCCAACCAGACAACTTTCTTTAAACGAAAATGCCAACGATAACGACGAAAAGTATGCTCTGAACTTCCTTTACAATCACTACAGGTTTATAAGAATGAAATATATAGATATGGTGTTTAGATGGGAACACAAAAATTTAGTTGCTATTACTGATCGATTGGATAGGTTGAGCAAAAGTTTGAAGAAAGCAAGGCCTGCGGAAGCACCTTCTGTTAATTCGGAAAATGTTCCTCTATTACAAGTGGTAAAATATTTTAATATTTATTTATAAATTGTTAACATGCAACAATTATTAAATCTTATCAATTTTAATACCTTTAGTAGAACTAGACAATTCGATTTATTCAATATACCTACCACTAATTTTCCTTTTAATTTGCCAGTAAGTCGAATGTTACGTACATGTAATAAGTTACAATTAATGTAAAAATGGTGATATTTTTGGAACTATTTATGCTCTCAGAGTTTTTGGAAGTCCTACAAATTATATAATTGATGAAATTGCAGCTGAAAGGGGCCATACAGTTTTACTGTTGCTACGATATTTTTGTATTCATATCCCCTATAGAGTTATTCTGGAGCCAATTAAAACAATATTTGGAGAAAAATTATGTTTCTCAAATTATCAACTTCATTATAAAACAAATGGATTTGATCAGTAACTAGCAATGGGAAGCAGTTATGCATGATGCCCAGTGGTTTATACTGTCAGTTCATCTATAGGTCACAAAATTGGCATTATTGCCTTTTCTATTATAAGTGATTCAAATTATAAATACTGACACATTGATGTGACGATACTGGCATTTTCTTACTTAGCTGAATTTTGTATTTATTTGCCGTCTATGAGATAGTCCAGTCCGTCTACTACAGTTCATTATTTCAGCTATGTAGGTGCATGATAATGATATTCGCTCGATAACGACTTTTTCTTGATGTATTGAGATAGTATTTACTGATTTTTTAAGTATCTTCAGAGGAAGAAATGTTTCTTTCATCATCGGTATTCCTTTATAGTTGACTTATGGTTTAATACCACAGGCTTGAAATACTGGAATGAGAGCGAAAATCATTTATATATACTCGCGTGCGGAGATCTTCAAGGACTTTCGCGCCGTTACGGGTTTTCATCACAAAATGTTTTGCAAGTAATTTTTATTTTTAAGAATATAAATGTGATAAATGTTTTTATTTTAAACAAGCAATGAATTTTAAATTAATATAAACTTAGATCAAAAACACAGAAACAACATTTTATTTGTAACAATCTTTAAAAATCCATTTATTTGTCAATTTACGATACTTATATTTACTATGCAATTCTTTTTCAACTAAAAAATATATTTCTCAACACCCACATGGATATTAGCTAATCTACGCACAGACTACAAAACGAGAAAGTATGCTATTGGGTTGAACTAAACGAGTATATTTCATATCCATTCTAGGTAGTGAGAATACTGCAAAAAAATTAAATCCACAAAACACAGTTCATATGTTGGACACCCAATTACTATTATTTTTAAACTTTTAAATAAGTGACAATTCTGTCAAACTAATTGTTAGTATATTTTTTAGTTATTGAAATGAAATACATTGAAATGAGTTATTTTTGTGTAGAATCAATAAATAATAGCATTTCTAGTTTTACTTGGTCCACATTTTGAAAAAAAAAAAAAAATAATTTCATTAAACGATATGAAACTAATTTAATTACGAGTATTAAAACTAAAATCCTAAAAGTAGCGATGGAGACGAGGACAGAGCATCTACCTTCCACGCGAAAAGCCCGGGATCGAATCTGGGATGGGGACTAATTAATTAAATCTTTTTTTTTTTTTCATGCTTATTTTATAATAAATTATTTTAAAATTGGTTATTTTCTCTTAAACACCCTAAATATTTATAAACTTGTAGATTTTCGTTAGTTGGTCGTATGGTCGTAGAAAACATATACTGTACAACTCCAGTGGATTGTCCATATCACTCTCAGACGATTGAGCACTCCACCTACGGCGTCGTGCTCATACTTCGTCTTCATGATATATGGCCATCATATCCACTCATGTTGCAAAAACTGTTTTTTTTTTTAGATAACTTACTTAAAGTACCGCAAGCTTATCAAACGAGAAATAAAACTTAAAAACCAAATGTACCAGCGTGCAAAGGAAGAAGCCCGAAAGTATAACCTATTGGAAACTTGTCAGTGTTGTTACGATGATGAATTGATACCTGAAGAATGCTATTTTTGCATGAAGGACTGCGTTTTCTGTAAAGACTGCGTTAAAAGAGGTGTAGAAGTTCGCGTTGGCCAAGGTGATACAAAATTTCCTTGCTTATCAAATTGCAGTTCGGAATTCAGTTTGCATACTTTACAGGTATGTTTCTAGCACTTGTATAATCCATAATTCAATTGTTTCTGTTTTTTTAAGCAACAATTAGACAATCTCATTAAGTAGACTTCGTTGGAGATTGAAGTCGAGATTGTCTAATTCTTGCTGATGAGTCCTAATAAGGACGAAATCGGTCCAAGAAAGATGTTCTCCTTGGGAAACAAAATCAAAACTGGAGTTTTGAAAATTATTTTCTATCTACTATTTTCCTTTTGATATAATGCAATGCCTGTTGGGGTATTAGCTAAGGGAGTAGTTGTTTTCAGGAGGGAAACTGTCGCTCGACTTTGCTGTCACAAGGACTTCTGTATACGGAGTAACCCAAAAGTCTGGAAACGGCCAATTATCTCGTAAATTGCTAGTCGAAATTGTACAAAATTTGGGGTACACCTATTTTGGGATACGGAGATTCCAGATTTTATATTTGCAATGATACCAGATTTTCCGTTTTTCTTATATTATTAGTCACTTTGGTTTTTCAAATTGATCACCCTGTATATTAAGTCATTATTGGAATCTCCTATTCAATACGAGTTCAACCATATGCAACACTTATGATTTTATGTAGTCTGGAAGGTCTTAAATAAATAAAACAATCATGGAGAAATGTGGTAAATGCACTCTATCATCGATTAGGGTACTGTCAACTCACAAATGAAGCACATTTTGAACACTTGATAAAGTAACCATTTTGTTAAGAATGGTGTAATCTTTCAATTGTTACGTTTTAATGTAGTTGAAAATAGTTTGTATTAAAAAATTTATGCGACAATTAGGCATTGCCAGACTTCTGTTTTATTTATTTAAGACCTTCTAGACTACATAAAATCATAAGTGTTACATATGGTTGAACTCGTATTGAATAGGAGATTCCAATAATGACTTAATATACAGGGTGATCAATTTGAAAAACCAAAGTGACTAGTATATCTTTGTTTTATATGGTAAATAATAAATTATTATTATTAATAATAATATAAGAGAAACGGAAAATCTGGCAACATTGCAAATATCAAATCTGGAATCTCCGTATCCCAAAATAGGTGTACCCCAAATTTTGTACAATTAGGACTAGCAATTTACGAGATAATTGGCAGTTTTCAGACTTTTGGGCCACTCTGTATATTAGTAGACACAAAAACAAAGTACTTGCCACCACTCTTACTATTATGTTCCACACTTGTATAATCATATTAATATTTAGGAAGTGGTTCCCAGACTATGATCACTCCTTTGTCAAATGAAAGTTGGAGTCCTGGTAGTTTTTTTGTCATGAGACAGTTCTCTTTGATCGGCACCACCATAGCATCACCGGCCGTTTTCACCAATCCACATAATCTAGTTTAAGTCTGACAGACTACTGTAAATAATTCACTATAAATATCTGTCAAATTCTTATAAAAAATGAACAATTTCCCATTACAACACAAAAAATTGTATTTCTTACTCTAAAGTAATATTGATACAAATTATATATTTTTAGATGGTTTTACCTAACAATATGTTCCAAAAAATTGCTCTAAAAATTGGCAGCGAAGAAATAAAGAACGCCAACATTGAGGGCATGGAAACTTGTCCGTTTTGCGATTTCGCTATGGTATTACCGGAAGAAGAAAAAATATTTAAATGTATTAACGAAGAATGTCTTATCGAGTCTTGTAGAGAATGTCGACATGAATCGCACATCCCGAAAAGATGTAATGAAATAGAATATGACGAGGACGTTAGGAGAAGAACTTTTATTGAGAATAAAATGACTGAAGCCTTCACGAGGTATGTATGTATGAAAAGTGACGATTTTTTGATACTTAAAGATCTAAAAGTAAGGATGAGCTACAATAGCGGAAAATGCAATTTGCTAATTAAATTTCAAAAAATATTAAAAGTTTTTTTTTAATAAATAATACAGCACCAGCTATAATCTTCTTTCAGACCTCCATTGTCTTAATCAATCGTTCTTAAGTCGTCTTTGGTTACAATATGTGGATGTTATATTCATAATAAATAAATTGAACCCAGAATAATAAGATTATTGGTAATGTATCCATCATTCAAATATAACATTGCTTTTTTATTCACTATGCTCATCTCGATTTTCTAGACACCTCCTAGCTCTTGAGCCAGCCTAGAGATTTGATGTACAACAGAAGTAAAAGTTGGAAAGCCTTTTGCCAGTTCTCCCACTTTATACACATAAATTTTCAGGTTTGCCCCGGATCTCTTCGAAGTAAACGCGATACATTGGCGTACAAAATTATTTTATAGATGTTAATAACAATTTCGAGTAAATAGTTTCATAAATTGTAAATAGCTGTTGAAATTTTTTAAAATTATTATTTGAATATTATTATACATGTTTAATAATTATTTATAGTCCATAAATACATGCGATTGTCCGGTTCCGCCGATAACAATTTAAAATTACTTATTCTATGAAACGACACTGGCAGGTAAACATTACTGCGAAATTCTCGAAGCCGTCCGACGTGGTTTGACGTTTACCCCCTCTCTACATACCAAAAGCCTTTCCAACTTTTACTTTCTCTATAGTTGACAATGTCGACAAGAGGTGCTTCTCTTATATCGGCCGGTGTTAGCCGATTCTCGCCGAACACAAATCTTCTATTAAATGAGAGAATCATAGAGGATATGCTCGATGGTCTCATCTTCTTGTTCGCACCCTCTGCAGAGTGCAGATTCTGACAGCCCCATGATATGGAGATGCTTCCGTACTTGGCAATGACCAGTCAGAATGCCTGTGACTAGGCGCAGATTCAGTATTTGTTTGCTGCAGTGTTATCAGGATAACTTAAAAGCTCCCTGGCAACTCTGCAGTTTCTTGTTTCATCCCATCTTTCCTTGAATTTCACGAGGGAATGTTCTTTAATTAGGTCTGTCTACCGATTTTGTCTGGCCAATGGAAGGACCAGGTCCAAAAAGTATTTAGTTGGCTGCTTTCTTGGCCAGTGAATCGGCAAGACGGTTACCTTTCGATGTGGCGCGACTTTTGATCCATCTTAAGGTGACCACGTTGTTGATGGATACTTCGGCCAAAACTTCGTGACATTCTAGTACTAACCCTGAATAAATTCGTGGTCTGTTCAGGGTGAGTAGTGCTTGTCTGCTACCTGTATAGATGAGCATGTTCCTTCCAGTGATATTTCTTCTTTCTGGTGATTTCTTTTGCTGTTATGAGAATCCCATTAGCTCTGTTTGAACTACACTGGCACTATCGCTCACAGCCCATTTTATTTTTAGGTTTAAGAATCTGGAGTATATTCTACATCCTGAGCCTTGTTTTGTTTTAGAACCGTCGTTGTAGATATGAATCGTACTTGCCACTTCCGACTCTTCTATTTGTTCTGTTACAACTTTATATGGATTATGGAAGATATATCTCGGTAAGATGGAGTCCATGTTCGCTTGAAACAGTGGGAGCGTATCGAGCGCCTCCTGCCAAAAGCCACGTCTCGCCTCACCAGATCTTAAATCAGGTTCTATTCCAACCGTGCGGAGGCGTCTCATTGTCGTCAGAGCAACCTCCTTGATGTAAATATCAAGGGGAGTGAGACTAAGAATGACTTCCATGGCTCTGGTCGGTGTTGTTTTCATGGATCCTGTTATGTTTTGACATGCTGTTCTTTAAATTGGTTCTAGTTTACGGATAGCTGTTAATTTTTGGGTTTTTGGTACCCAGACAACTGCACCGTATGTTAGCATAGGTCTTATGATAGCTGTGTAAGTCCATGCGACGACTCTGGGGGAGAAACCCAAGTGCGCCCCACGGTTCGGCGGCATTGTTCATAAGCAATATATCCTTTTTTGACTGTTCCATGTCAACTTGCTGTAAAAATTGAGATCTAAGTACTTCACCTCTGTTCCACAGTTTAGTTTTGTGTTTAGGAGTTCTGGAGGTTTTAATTCCATATTAGAAACCTTATATAACTCTTAAACAATGACAAGAAGTCAAATTTCAAAAGCAAATCCAGAGACACACAAAAAAAAACTCAAAAAAACTGCATTTAAAGAAGAACAGAAAAGTCTGGAATAGCTGAACGTGCATGTACTGAATATTCAATAAATCTGTTGGAAATAACAAGATAGGAAACTGGTTCAAATGGAAATTTCAAAAAGTTACCTACATCAATATCGCATCTCTGCTTATATACATTTATTCTACGTAACAGAGAGTTCTCTTTATCGATAGAATTTCAATAGAAATACCATAAGGATACAAACAATATGATACAAACATAGCCAATAATATATCGGGTATTTACCTAAAGACGAAGTGAAAATGTTTTAAAAACTAAAAAGAATTAGGGCAATGGCAGTCCGAAACCGCATACGAGCCAATTTAAAACGTTATTAACTAGCATTCTATTTAAAATACAGATCCTATTTTTCCCTGTCTAGCATTAAACGTGTTGGTCCAGGTAAATCGGTGCCAGGACTTTGTTTCTACGCTTCCTGTATTCACCGAGATCTTCAACTTCCTAGTAACATACTGCGACTCGATGTCCTTTGAAATTATAGCACATGCCAGACAGGATAAAATAAATACTGTATATCTGCTTAAATGCTAAAACAGACGGTCAAATTGTATTGTTACATATCGTCGTTAACAAGACGAACAGGTGTATCTCAAAATTACAAGATTTCAGTAATTACATTTAACGTCAGTCTGGATTTTGCTAACTTTAAAAGTTGTTTAAAAAATGCCAATATATAACGTATATAAACATATATAAATTCCGAAAACGTCTTTTGAAGGAACTAACTCAAATCCAGGAATTTTTGAGATAGGCCCCTTCGTTATGTTAGCGACGATATTTAATCACAACGAAGAGATATTTGACATATAATTCATAATTAGCATTTATTGTTCTCCCATGCATCTCTTTGCTTTCTCTCCGGAGGGGTCCAAGCCTCAGGCTACCTCCAAGGAGGCTTGGATTTCAGCCTGTTTCCTCTGGTGTTTAAGTATGACGATACTGCAGCCCTGCATGCTTATTGTGCCACAATTTGGATGCCCTACTCCTTCTCGTTTATTTAACTCACCGTCTAGATGACTCCCGAGCTCTACGAGCTTGGACACATCCTAACGGTGACTGAGCTCACTCTGCCTAACTGTGACAAGTGTAAATTCCTTTCACAGTGAGACAGCAACCCGGTGCTTATATGGTTGTAGCAATATTATAATTTAAATAACTTGTATATGGCAGGGAAAGTCATTTATGTAAATGCAAATGATAAAACGTCTTAATATTGAACCCTGAGGTACGTTCTGATCATATTTTCGTTATCACTTTTTTTGTTAAAACACAAACTGTACACTCAGGACAAATCTTTGTACTTAAGTTTGATTAAATAGCTAATTTTTATGCAATAAATAATATATAGTATTTTGTATAAACCTTTAAGAAACACCCTGTATACATATATATGTAGATTTGTTTATCATGAAGAAATGATTTAATGGGTTCATTCCAGATTTGAAGAGGCCATGCGATCTTGACATTTTGGGAGCTTATTCTAATCCTTGTACTTTCAGTTTGGGCCATATGTGTCTCTAAACCGCTCTGAAAACGAAGAGTCATCCATATCATATTAAATGATCTTAATATCGTATACAGAAGGGACAGTTCCACCCTCTTCGCTTGAGTGGCAAAATTCTGGTAATTTTACATGGAAGAAGAAACAATATTTTGTCAATTCATGTTTAGCATTACTGGGCCGCGTCGTGAAATATTCCGTCTGTTTTAGCATGAAATGCTTTAGAAATTTGTTGAAATTAATTTAAAAAAATGATTTTATTCCATCGTCGTATTAATATCAGAGGCGGCGTTACTGGTACAGAAGAAGGCACACCGACGGTTTTTCTCAAGGTCTTCCGGACATTTCTAAGTATATTATTCCCCAATCTTTCTGTATTATTTTTAATGTATAAAATTTGGAACGCTTAATATTTTTACTCAATTTTATGTTTTGCCAATGCAATAACTCACTAATATTCTTGAATTAATATTTCTAATTGGTTTATTTTTATTTTCTGCTTACTTCATTTGTTTTTTTTTTATCATTTTGTATCTTAAAATTGCTTGCGTTTTAATTATTTCAATTAACGAGTAATATGTTTTATTGTAATCCAATCATTAGGTTTGTCTTGACATGTATATTTCTTACTAATAGTTCTCGGTTTATTATAATAATCAAGGAAACAGATCATTAAAATGTTAAGGATGCTTTTTGCACATTTCTGCACATAAAAGTCACTTCTTCAACTATGTTTTCTCCTACTTGTTTTTAATAGGTACCACCGAACCACACACTTAATTCTTTCAGACACAAGTGACACGTAAGACTTTTAAGTAAGCTATTTTTTCATTATAGCCCCAATTTTTTGACCTATTGATTGGATTATTGATATATCTTTTATGTCAATTTACCAGTATTTTTTATATAATCGAGCCCTTTGATTGAAAATTAATATTTTCGATTTGGCGATTTTTTTTTTATTTTAAATTTTTACTTTAAATTATTTTTCATGCTGACAAATAGAAACATCGACTTTATTTCAGAATATGTTACAAGTGTAAGAAAGCATTCATAAAGGATACCGGCTGCAATAAAATGACATGCAATTGTGGAGCAAAGATGTGTTACCTGTGTGGAGCAGCCATCAATGATTACAACCATTTTAGCCAGACTAGGTAAGTTACTTTGAATGGACGTATGTATTTTGTGCTTATTTATTTACATAATTAAAGTAACCCGCCACCAAAATCTCCATGAACTTAATGGTAGATGTAATTTTTCGTTACTACACACAATTTCGGAATTAAACTATTAAAAAAAATACTGCTGAAAACTCACTTTTTTTTGTATGTCATCTGCAACAACTGCTAAGTTTATTACCCTTGGTGTGTGTAGGCTTTGTTACTGTTTCCCACTGCCACTTTAGGAACGGCACTGTTAATTATTATTCTTTTTTTTTTTTTTTCAGTTGCCCGTTGTTTAGCAACGATGCCGAAGTGAATTTGAGGAGGGTTTTAAATGGTGCCGAACAAGCTAAAAATGAATTGGGCAATGTTGAAATCAAATTTGATCCTACCACAAACATCCGGGAGTTTTTTAATTCTGTTGGGGGTTAATTATGTTATGTGATAATTAAGGATTGCCTCACAATATTGTAATTCACATTGTGTCAATCCTATAAACAGGATGTTACTGAATGCATGAATTTAATACTAAAAGTGGTGTAATTGATTTTTTGAACTTCATACACTCTTGTCAGTATGTACATGTATTTCGGTTAGACCCTGTATAGTAATTTATACCCGTTTATTGGTATAAAACTAATATTTGTGCCAATCTTTTTTACGTTTTTCATATTATACATAAGTTAATACTTTGGATTCTTATAATTGGAAGCTTGAAAAAGTATATTCAGTTTTCCTTAAAGCAATATGTTATTATAAATATTGGGTTTTGAAATTTCTATTGTAATTTCAGTTTTTAAAGCACAATAAAACAAGGCTAAAGATGTAAGGAATAGAAATTAAATACATATTACATACAAAGTACATTCCTCTTTTACCTACTAGGCTATGGAAGTTTCTTTTTCTGCTCTTTTACATTTTCTCTTTTGTCTACATTTCTTCAATCTTTGCCATTTTTTTTACTTTTATTTCTTCTAATGTCAATGTTCTTTTTCCTTGCCTTTTGTTTTTTTGTCTTTAATGAGTTTTTTTTTTCTTCTGGGCTCGTCTCACTATGTGTCTCCGAATAACACTGAAGTCTATTAGCTTATTGTGTTTTACCCCATGTTAGTTCATAGCACCCACTCTGTCACCTTTGTACCTTGTACAAGTTTGTACAGATCCTTGGGTGAGTGGGTTCTATACGTTGTTGGATTAACCTGGGGTTGTCCAAAAAGAGCCTATCTTTTGCGATCTAGAGCTTCGCATTCGCACAGTATGTGTTTGGCCGTTTCTGGTTTCTTGTGACATAGTCGGCACATGAGTTCCCCATTGTACATGCCAATTTTGTTCAAGTGTCCCTTTACTGGGGCGTGCCCAGTCATGAACCCTGTTATCACTTTTAACTGGTTCCTATTCATTAAGAGTAGTTCTCCAGTTCTTTTGGGACATGGTCTGCCTATGAAGGCTTTTCCATGTTTCCAAACTTTCCAAACCAACTCAATTTCTTCTTTTCCTTTTCCGATTGTCTAACTCCAATTATGACTTATTTTTTTTACAAAATATAGCACTTTAAATTTAAAGAGTCTATGCGCGCTTAACTTTATTGTGAACACTTGTGAGACATGCCTGTAAGTGATAATCAGTGCCAATGAAAAATTCATGATATACTTTTGGATGTTCTAGTTTTTATAAAATTTTATATTTGTTTTATACTCTTGCTAGAAATAAACAAAAACGTTATATATTATTAATTTTAAGAAAAATGTTTGCATTTAGATGTTAAGTTATTTTTATTTTGAATTATATTTAATGGAAAAGCTCAAAGATTATTTGTTTACTGCCTATATAATGAAACTGTTTTAATTAAATAACTTGTTCTAGATCATTTTCAGTCGTTTTTTCAAATTTAGGAGAATTAATTTTGTGTGATCAATAGTTTATCAGCCAGTTGCAACAACGTTTATTCAAAATGGACTCGATAAACTTTGAGGGAGCTTGAGAATGTGATATGTCTGAATGACATGAACTTCCATTACTCACAGTCTAATAAAGTTATGGGGTCATTAGCTATTAAGAAATTTAACAAGCTTTCTTGCAACTGGGTGTAAATGTTTCGTAATCATATTTTTTTATATTAATTAATCTTAATAGTTTTGCAGTGGTTTTACCATAACATAAATATTTTTTATTTTATCCTGACTTCCTAGATAAATGCTAAAAAATCAAGTATGGAGTAGTTAGTGGAAATGGCATGTGAATCCCCTATTACTTTTTAATTCTAAATATATTGTTTTATCATAATGATAATGTAGCAATTATGATGTTTAAATGAAAAATTAAATTCTATTTTCTAAATAAAATTTGATATGTGTTATATTGAATATATTTTTATTTCCTTTATACCTAGAGAGGTAAGTGAAATGTTTAATCTGTAAGATGATATGAGCTCAAATAACACATTACTTTAGTGTATGAAATTATTAAATAAATACATTTTTCTCATTAAAACAATGTTTACTTTTTTCTAGTTAAACGAATTTCTAATGGAACATACAACTTGTTATTTTTTACATTATCATAAAAGCAAAAAATGCAAAAAATCGATTTAAGGTTTTTCGGCTTTTCTTTGAGAGTTCAATAAAATTGAAATATAAGGTTAATGAAAGCGTCTTTTACGTAACTAAAAAAAATTAAATTTTTTAAATGTCTGTGAAACGAGATATTAACAATCAAAATGTGCATAATTAACACTCTTGAACACAAGCAAAATGCATTTATTTCAAGATCTCGAAAACGGTTCTTACTATATTTTTTCAAAACTAATGTAATATAATTCAAGAAAAAGGATAATTTTCTGACCTTAGTATATTTATATAAATTAAAAGTTCACTGGTTTATTCGGTCGATTTTGTTTTTATAAATTTTAAGTACAGGCACTACATATGTTTCAGAAACACTGTTCCATCTTCTTGTGCCTGTAAATATAACTTTTTAAAATAAAAGACATCCCCGTCTTTTTGTTTTACTTCGTGTAATTCGAATACATATGTAGTGACTACTTAAAATTTATAAAAACAAAAAAAGACCGAATAAACCAGTGAACTTTTTATTTATGTAAATCAAGAATAAGTTATAAAATTTTCTAAAAAAGCACTGAATTTTTTGACCGTCTTAGTAAAAAAGATATATATTTTTAGAATAAAAATATTTTTAAATCAGTCGACGCGTAGTTGCGTAAAATGATTACAACTTGGCAACATTTCTATGCTACATTTAACTCGCGGTAAGTAAATCACTCGATCAACTAAGAGGTTGTTATAACTTCGCGAGGTATTCTTAAATAATTAATTTGTCCACTGTTTTGAGAACTGGAATCAGCGGTTCTGTTTGAACCAAAACAAACCCTTAAAATTAGTATATTAGGAAGTCACAAAATTCTATAGCTCATCACTCATATATTTGCGACGTTGCCGGATGGATTTTATTTGAAATTATAACTTATCCGTATATATAAGCTTACATGTGTTGTGTACAGTTTCTTAGATAAATAAAAAAAAATTGCATTGAGAATATCGAACTTTTGGTATTCACCATTAGGCGATATTTTTATGTACGACTGTCGCGAGTGAATTACCTTAAGGTATTTTTTATTTATTAAAACCTTAAAATGATTCAGTTCTGTGTTGCATAACTTCGTTTCAAACATTAAGGCCAAGTTCAATTTTGTTTGACATATCATCACGATTTTTTTTAGGTTAGAAAATTGCATTATCGATTTTTTTCATTCGAAGTAATAAAAGACATCACTTTAAATTTCTATCTCTTTTTGTCAACAAATTTCTAACACGATGAATTTATAAAACGTATGTCACTAATGAATATGTGGCGGCAACTGACGGCAACACTGTCAGCTACTCCATGGCTACTAGAGTACATACAGGTCCGGTATAAGCCATGGAAAATAATAATTTAATGTTTTGATCGAGTTAAATAAAATATCAAAATTAAATGTTTATTTTTAAGTAAACGACATTTTTAAATGTATACGTCTTCAATCAAAAATAATATAGGCAATACTCAAGTGTACGAGTGTACTGGACAAGAGATAATTTTACCCTTTACTCCAGTTTTTTGTAATGAAACCAGTGGTAAAATAGATATTTGTGTACCAAGGCTGTATTTTGGCCGAATTAGACATATGCGTTCAAGTCTAAGCTAGTTCTGGTTAAGTATAAGAGTAATAGGCAAGAAACGGGTGTTCAATCAAACTTGACATCGAGATAGATGTCACATAAGCAGGTGTACTGAAGATGAACTTTGCAGGACCAAGCATCAGATAGGTATAACACTTGATATTCTGAAAACTATGTGAATACTACACTGAATAAGAACGAATGGAAGTGTCAGAAGGAGGCTAAAGGCAAAAAATAGACGGAACAGAGCCTAATAGATAGATAAGTCATATTTTAGCCAGGAGAGAGTCGATGAGTGTTATAAATATAGTTATTTATGAATGTATTTTTAATGTATAATTTCAGTTTATTTTCATTTTTGGTATAAAACTATGGCTGACATAATAAAACTCTTAAAAGTATATATATATATATATATATATATATTTTCAATCTTTATTACTATACATTATTTAGTATTCATTTATTCTCTCTGACCTAGGGAAAAGGTCAAAAAACCCTGGTCATAATTGTTTACAATGTTGCGTGTTCCTAATGATACAAAACATTACAGAGGAATGATACTTAGCCGATGAAATCTCATCGAGTTCACGCATGACATATTGTGGTATGGAATATGGCTATCTCTGATGCATCTGCAGATTTAAATTTATTTTTGCGTACTGTTTTCTATCAACTGATACCCCAAATTTATACAAGCCACGTCTTCGCACCACAATGTGACATAGCATCAAATCTGCTTAATCTCGTACCATTTTTTTAAAGTATCAAGGATATTCTTGGTGTAGCTGATCATCATGTTTCGAGTCACTGAACCTAAAAAATAACAAATATCAATAAATAGAATTCGGAATTTATTCTAAAAATATTTTTCTTTGGGAATTATATAGGATTTCTCGTTAATATACTGACAAACTTTTAAAGGTGGTAGGTGCATCAAAATAAACATTTTTTTGCTTAATAAAATAAAAATAATTTTATTGCCCAACAAATTAATCCATTTACAGAACAAAATACATGAAATAAATGTTAAACATAATATTTCGACAGAGAATAATTTTAGCAACAGCAAGAAAAAAAAAAAAAAGAATCCTAAATACATTAGCTACAAATTAGTACAACTAATGGTCGAAATAAATATCCCAATCAGAACAAAATTAATTAAAATTTGAGCACATTAGCCTTATAGGCGAATTTCTTCCCAAGTTCGTTCAAATACTTGCTGTATAAAATGTTTTATGATATCTAATGGCTGTTTGGGGAACATTAAAATTTATTTAATTTATCAAAAATAGTACATCAATAGTGTTATGTAATATTTTATAAAAAAAATGTAACACTGGAAACTACCCTTCTTTTTTCGAAAGAAGCAGAGATTCTTCAATACCTCGAATTGGATACAGCTCATCTATTTTAAAAGAAAGGTACTTAAGAGATCGCCGCTGAACATTTTCCAATGATCTTTTATGAATATTGTAAATAAGGTTCCAGACAAGAGATGCATATTCTGGCCTGGCACGAACTAAAGAAAAGTAAGGATCTCCAAGCTTTAAGAATTTGTTAAAGAACGAGTATTACGGAATTAAGAACCCTAAGCTTTTCAACGCAGAAGCAACCTCGGAAGCAACGGTATTTTCAATATAATCCGAAAAAGTAACTTTTTGGTTGAATAATATACCTTAATCTTCAATTTGTGCCACAAGTCCAAAAAAGGTAGGCTGTTAAATAAATAATCAAACTCCACCTTGTTATTACTTCTAGTATAGGAACATACTTTACATTTAGACACATTCATAAACAGCTTGTTTTCATTACACCAATTTTCAACGATTCCCAAGTTGGGTCTGTAAAAAGTAACAGTCTTGAATTGATAAGATTGAGGTAAATATTTTTAAGTCAGCAGCGAACAGCAGGTTAAATTTATTGCCAAGTCATTTATAAATATACTAAATAATAGTGGCCCCAGATTGGAGCTCTGTGGAACTCCAGATGTTGCTGTGAGGGGTGAAGATGAAAATCCGTTGTAAAAGACATAATTAAAACGATGATTTAGGTAAGATGAAAATAATCTCAACAGCGACTGATCAAACCCTAAGCTTTCCAACTTCCTTACAAGAATATTATGATTTTTAATTATTACAAAATACATTATGTATGTACAAAAAATATTCTAAACATATTTTAACTAACAAGAGTTTTATTTTTAACTAGTTATATTCAAAAACAAATGTCATTTTTAAAACTATGTTTAACAATAACCGATGAGTATACAACAAGGTTCACAGTTTAAACTAAGTCTACATTTTAACTGCCTATTGTACAACCCGCCATATGTACAATTAAAAATTAATTGTATTTCTTTAAAATGCACTTGATTCTATTGATCAAAACCATTCGATAAAAAAAAATAAAAAGTATTGGTATAAAGGTGGTTTTTTATATCTATTCTATAAAGCATGCATTGGAGTAGCATGTAGATTACCTAAGTATCAGGTCAGAGATATTAAAATTAAATAACATATGTAGTGGGATTCTCATCTTTCAATGCGTCTTCTATAGAGACTCCTATCTTTGTTCGCCAGACAGCGATTTTGATGTAATGACTCTCTCTATTCTGTATGTAATGTGTCGAGTTGGCACAAAAGAATCACTGTTTTGATCAGAAGAAATTAACCACATCAAAGGAAGAAAATTAAGTCCCCTGTTATTTTTAATTTATATTAATGTTAATGTTGCAATAATTAATATGACATTTACCTGTTTGCCTTTGATGTCCTTATCTATGTTTCTTGTAAGTTGTAAGGATTCAGATAACTTAATTGTCAATGAAACTCTGCAAAATGTTTATAAATGATGTTGCAATCATTTGTTAAAAATCAACACAAATACCTAAAACAAAATATAAGCTGATAAGTAGAACTATATGCAGTTTGTGGACAAACAATACAGGAAATTGGAAGAAAATCTATACAGTTAGTAGAAAAATTCAAACATTTAAGGGTAATTATTCGGAAACAGATGAAATTCACAGACCATAGGCAAATACTGTTATCAAAAGAATTGCAATTAAATTACATTTCCTATTTAGAATGTTATTAAAATAATTGTTATATTATTACATTATTTTTTACTAAATTTGAATATTGTGATATTA